TGCACACGTTTTTTTTTTCTTCCTACGAGTACGAGCGTCTGTTTCTAAAGGATGAAATAATTTTTACGCTGTTTTTTTTTAAAGAACCTGCAGTTTAAAACCGGTGATACAACTGACTGCACCGACAAGTTTTACCAGATTTTGGTAAAAATCTGCAGTTTTTAAACGAAAGAAAAAAAAAAGAGATCAACGTACGGGGCTAGGTGTGAAGTGCAAGCAGGGATTCCAAGTTCCCTTGCCTACACTAGTTTATGTGATAGGGACCAGTTGACTTGCCTACACTAGTTTATGTGATAGGGACCAGTTGACTTGCCTACACTAGTTTATGTGATAGGGACCAGTTGACTTGCCTACACTAGTTTATGTGATAGGGACCAGTTGACTTGCCTACACTAGTTTATGTGGTAGGGACCAGTTGAGTTGCCTACACTAGTTTATGTGATAGGGATCAGTTGACTTGCCTACACTAGTTTATGTGATAGGGACCAGTTGAGTTGCCTACACTAGTTTAGGTGAAAGGGACCAGTTGACTTGCCTACACTAGTTTATGTGATAGGGACCAGTTGAGTTGCCTACACTAGTTTATGTGATAGGGACCAGTTGACTTGCCTACACTAGTTTATGTGATAGGGACCAGTTGAGTTGCCTACACTAGTTTAGGTGAAAGGGACCAGTTGAGTTGCCTACACTAGTTTATGTGATAGGGACCAGTTGAGTTGCCTACACTAGTTTATGTGATAGGGACCAGTTGACTTGCCTACACTAGTTTATGTGATAGGGACCAGTTGAGTTGCCTACACTAGTTTAGGTGAAAGGGACCAGTTGACTTGCCTACACTAGTTTATTTTGTATTGTAGCACAATATATGGCCTTGGATATACTTTTGTCTCATGGCACAAATATATGCCCTAGGTTATACTTTCCTTTTGGCCCGAAGCACAAATATCTACCTAGCATCAGAGTTTTAAAGTTTGTTCTCTCCCCTAAAATTTCAACAAGCGTCTGGTTGCGATCGTTTCGCTATCATCAGATCGCGCAGAAAGGCATAAAGCAAAACGCAATGCCCATTTCAAGGACAGCAGACTTGTGGAAGTTTTTATAAATTTTTATTTATTTTGTAACTATCAAGGTTACTCTGATATAAATTGTTGTAACTATCAAGGTTACTCTGATATAAATGTTGTAACTATCAAGGTTACTCTGATATCAAAATGTTACCAAAAAGGCACCAGAGGACTAATTAGAATAGTGCTGGTAATTAATCAGGACTAAAGACGACCGTGGGAGGTCTGTAATTAAGGCAACGAGCGTCCTCCCGACGCGAAGGTGACAAAGGTCGCACAAAAAACCGCGGGAATTTAGACGCGGCAGACTGGGGTGAAAGGTCACGGTGTTAAAATAATGGGGAGGGGGGAGGCGGGCGTTATGGTATAATTGAATTGGATAGTGTCAAACTATCACTCCAGTACATGGTATCAAACTACTTGGATAAGGAAACCACTTGAATGGTGTCACTTATTTGATGGTGTCACCCCTTTGGATGCTGTCATCCCACTGGATGGTGTCATACATTGGATTGTTTCACCCCCTCGGATAGTGTCAAGCCTTGCATGGTGTCACCCCTTCGGATGGTGTCACCCACTTGTACAATGTCACCCGTCTGGATAATGTCACCCCTTCGGATGGTGTCAAACGTTTGGATGGTGTCACCCCCTTGGGTAATGTCAAGACTTGGATGGTGTCACCTCTATGGATGGTGTCACCTCTTTGGATGGTGTCACCTGTGCGATACACATCCCTCGCCCATTATCTTGTGACGTTTTCGGTTGTTCATTTTTTTTTTCAGTTGTCATATCGATTTTTTTTCTTATTTTAGTACGTATATACGCGTTTACTATTATAAGCTCTTACATCTACTTATTATTAAAACTTTTTGATTATTGTGTAGTTTGATTCTAACCTCCTCCCGTATTCAAAAGTTTCAGGGCTTTTAAATTTTGGACAAGTTCAACACACGAGTTCGTGTTAACACCAACAGCTGAGCCGGTCTATCTGGTTAGGCAGGGGGTGGAGGGGGGGGGGGGTAGATCACCTGACTACATCCCCAACACGTAACATTACGGTGGTTAATTAGGCTAATTAAACCCCGAGGAGGGGTGGGAGGTTTCATGAGGACAGGGCGCCCTACAAAACAGGGCGCCACATGACAAATGGTTACCCAACACTTTACCACACTAATCCTACTCAAATCCACCTATTTATCGACAACATCACAAGCAATTAAATTATTATTTTACAAGTGCCCTGTTTTGCTAAGTGTAAAAAAAAATTATTATAAACTAAACGGGTTGATGAAACCCTAAACCTAAGTGTAATGCTATGCGGTACTTATTCAACACGAAGGCCCACATCAATATACAAAATAAAAGAGTGTGACCGTATTGCAACAAGATGGCGGCATGTGGCAGGGGAGGTAATCAATTACAGGCAACGGGTGGTGGGACCAGATGGGACATAGAGTTTGTTAGAGCTAAGTTAGTGTTAGGTTAGAGTTAGGTTAGTGTTAGGTTGTAGTTAACTTAGAGTTAGGTTAGAGCTAAGTTGGTGTTAGGTTAGGGTTAAGTTAGAGTTAGGTTGTAGTTAACTTAGAGATAGGTTACTGTTAGGTTAGTGTTAGGTTAGGATTAAGTTAGAGTTAGGTTGAAATTAAGTTAGAGTTAGGTTACTGTTAGGTTAGTGTTAGTGTTTAGAAAGCACCCAGTCGAGTTGATGAGTGCAAGTTCATGTACGCTATAATCGCTATAACTCAACAATATGTATATAACTATTATATTAGAAACTTTGCCAACACATAGGTTACACAATTATGGTTTAATGTATGGCTTTAGTTTAGGTTTTTTTTTTTTTTGGTGTTTTGACTAGGCTCTAATACAAACAAAGCAATAAAGTCCATTTCGACATATAGTATAGGTGAAGAAGAGTTTATCAGTGTTTTTTTTTCTCAGCACAGCCAGTTTTACCTACTCTGGCTTCAGTTGGGAACCAAGTAGAGCTGAGTGGACTCAAGGATGTAGGGATGTAAGGAATGTAAGAAAACGCACTGAGATTACAGGTGTAGTGGTTGTACATTATTGGATACTGTCACATGTTTACATGGGTTATGTAAGGAATGTAAGGAGTATAAGGAATGTAATGAGTGTATGGAATGTAAAGAATTTAAGCAGTGTAAGGAATGTAATGAATTTAAGGATGTAAGGAATGTAAGGTATATAAACTTTGAGTCGAACGATACTCAACACATCCAATGTTGACATAGACTGATGACAACGTTTATTTTCAACGAGTATAACACTTTCCCTCTACACACGATACAACCATTGTTATGTTATTGTTATAACCACGACAGATGTTACCATTACAATTGTGTTATGTGACAGCAGGCTATATGCAGATGTGTGGTTTTTATATGTGGATAATATTTGTGTGGCGTTTGGTTATGTGGATTATGTATATTTTATGGATTTTATGGAGCTGTAAAACATTTCGAAGTGTGAAATATATTGATGGGTGGGTAAGGGAATGAATGGGTGTGTATGTAAACACCTTGCACTTCTCTACTTGATGGCTAGGTATTGTGATTGGATGTCAATGACACAATCATATAACAGTCTTTTAGGGCTGTGTGGATAAGTGAATAGTGGGGTGTGTGGATAATGGAATAGTGGGGTATGTGGATAATGGAATAGTGGGGTGTGTGGATAATGGAATAGTGGGGTGTGTGGATAATTAAATAGTGGGGGTGTGGATAGTGAACAAGTGGGGTGTGTGGATAATGGATGTAAATCCAAGCGACTGCCAGAACTCAGACCACTTACCATCTAATTCACGGACAACCATCTGACAGACAACCCGTAGACAGCCCGCACACAACCCGTAGACAACCCGCACACAACCAACAGACAACTAACAGACAACCAACAGACAACCCAGAGACAACCAGAAGACACGTGCCAGACGATATCCGAATACCAGGCAAACACGCGGTATCGATCCTAGATCGAATATGTGTCAATAGTCCAACTTCCCGGGTAATCGAATCCAATTTACACTCGGTATTGTTAAGAGAGTGGCTTCCCCTCCATGTAAAGCAAGACTAAAGGAATTGTAAATAGACTCGATAAAATTGGCTGTTGTAGATGGTAGTTGAACGGTACAGCAGTAGTAAAAAAGTTATAGTAATAAATAACAGATTGTTGAAATACACAAAGAAAGAACACTTTTACTATTTAAAATTGTGTTTACTTAATAATAAACTGGGTTATTTTGCCTGCAAGGTGTAGCAAGGATGCAATCAGATAATTTTAATATGTGAGGTGATGAGATAATTTTATCATGAGAGGTAATTAGAAAATTTTGAGGTGGGAGGTATAAGAGAATTTGAACATGGGAGGTAATAAAAGTATTGTAACAAGGGAGGTAATCAGAGATTTTCAAAATATATGTTATAAGACAATCTTAACACGGGAGGTAATTATACTATTTTAACACGCTAGATACTTAGAGAATTTCAACGTGGGGGAGGGGGGGGGGGGGGTAATAAGAGAATTTTAACATTAGAGGTAATAAGATAATTACATTGGAAATGGAGGGGGGGGGGGTGGTAATAAGAGAATTTTAGGAGGTAATGAGATTCTTTTATAAAGTAAAGTAATGATATTTTAACAATGAATGAGGTAGTACGGTTAATTTAACAAGGGAGGTATTGGGGTTATAATAGTAAGAGTGGCAATAGGATCATTTTAATAAAGGAGTAAATTTGACAGCAAGATTATTAATAAATTTATTTATGATTAAAGTAATGATTCGATGTTTACGTGTAGATTTATTCGCACGTGATATAATGTGGAATGGAGGGGGTGGGGGATGGAGTGTTGCGTAAGGAAAAAAAAGTTTGTGTGTGAAGGGTGGGTTAGTTAAATATAGTGTAAATAATAGTAAGATGGAGGTAACAGGTAAACACAAGAGGACAGGTGAGACAATATGACTTACCTGTGTGCTTGTCAGATGGCCGGTACTGGAACTGTGGAATAGAAAGTTTGATATACGTCATTGACATATAGCTGTAGGGTAGTTGACATTCCTGGAAGGCAGTAGATCAGTAGGGTGGGGGATGAAAGCAGTAGGGTGAGGTAGAAAGGAAGAGGGAGTAAGTAGTAGAAAGGGGGGGAGGGGTTATGGTCTTCGGGCAATATGCTTAAAAGTTTAAATGAGAATAAGAAGAAGAGGGGAATGGGGAGTATGTTTTAGAAAGGGGAATGGGGAGTAGGTTTTAGAAAAGGGGAATGGGGATTATGTTTTAGAAAGGGGAATGGGGAGGTTTTAGAAAGGGGAATGGGGAGTAGGTTTTAGAAAGGGAAGGGGGAGTATATTTAAGAAAAGGGAATGGGAGAGTATGTTTTAGAAAGGGGAATGGGGAGTAGGTTTTAGAAAGGGGGATGAGGAGTATGTTTTAGAAAGGGGAATGGGGTGTAGGTTTTAGGGAAAAAAGGGGGGTCGGGTAGGTTATAAAAGTAGGAAAGTTGAGAGCGAGTAGAGAATATGGTAGAAGAAGCAGTGGATGTAGGTAAGCTTGAGAAAGGTGATATGGTGTAGACTGAGCCACGAGAGAGAGACAGGGTGAACCGGTGCAAATAGATCTAATCACTGAGCTGTGGCTTTGATGGCCACAGACCTAGACGGGATGATCTGAAAGCAAATAAAGGAGAAACACAAAGGTGAGGGGTGGTGAGGGGTGGGGCGTGATTCTTCAGAACGAAAACAAATTATTGATTTCTCCGTCAACAGCAGACTCAACGCAGACGTTTGTTGTTTCGTAAATTGGGGCGGACGGGCGGGGTGTTATGGGGAGGGGGGGGGGGGGGGTGGGGGGAGAAGAAGAAAAAAAAAGAGTTATGTCATCCTGACCTTCATATCTCAGCTGAGAAAAAAAATTCAAAAAATAAAAAAATAAAAAAAATGAATGACAGTTGAATTTAATTCGCATGAAGTTCAACGCGCCTAGAGCCAGACGTCAAACGGTTTTCTGTATCAAGGTCAAGGATGGGCCAGGAAAAAAAAATCAGCCTCTGATTTGATTTTACTTTTATCCAAATAAAGAGAAAACCTTACGGAGATACGTGTGACGGGCAGGATGAACTTGATTAAAATATAATCGATGATTATTGTCAGACAGGGGCGAGAACTGTTCCGGTTTGTATCAGTTTCTCAACGCGGGGCTGTCATTGTGTGAAATAAGGTTTGTTTCAAACCGCGGGGTTGTTTACATTATAAAAAAAATACTGGGTGGTTTTCTTTTGTTTTGCATTTTTAAAAAATACAGGAAAATAAAAAAAAATAATTATTAAAAAACATTTCACATACACATTATTGTGAATTACAAAATAAAATGTTGAAATATAAAGTATAATCAAATTCCTTAATGTCATCTTTATAAATTGTGTTGAAAATGCATATTTTTTGTAAAAAAATCATTATTTACATATTATATATTCTCATTTAATCCTAATTAATGAATTTAAAAAATAGTCATGTTTTTTTTTAAATAAAAAGAAAAAAAAGAATACAGGTCTAAAATAATGTAAATTATTTTTGTAAAATACATGTATTAATATATTGTATCCCTGCTGATAATTTTGCTTAGCGAACATTTGTACTTGCAATTATTGATTCGTTTTTTTTTTCAAGGGAGAGTATACACACACACAGAGACTCGCCCACACGTATAAATACACTGCATGTGGAGTAACAGCACTTATATATCAAGTTGTTTCATAATACTTAAAACAGATTTATAATTTAAAACTTAGATTAAAATAATGCGATAGCATATCAAAGGGAAATAACAGAATAAAATAAAAAATATATAAAAATACTCTGTTGCGTCCCTTGCAAGACTTACTTTCTTTTTCCTTTTGCCTAGTGTGGAAGTTCATGTTGTTTATTTTGACATTATTTTCATCTGGGCTGAAACGAAAATGGAAAGTACTTTTATAAAAGGAATACATGACACGTTTTAAACATAAATCAGTTTCATCTTTAAAAGAACTACTCTATAGTCAAACTGTGTGAATTAAAGTGTCGTAGTTTTAAAATTGAATTTGTTAAATCTATACTCAATTAGTCATATGAAGGCTGTAGGGTTAAGGGGTTAGAAGACAGAACATTATTTAATAATGTCTATCCCTATATTGAAAGGATGAAACATTAGTTCCAATAAATGTGCAACCACTAATTAGCTCTAAACTGCTGTTATGAATGTGCAACCACTAATTAGCTCTAAACTGCTGTTATGAATGTGCAACCACTAATTAGCTCTAAACTGCTGTTATGAATGTGCACCAGTAATTAACTCCTAAACTGATGTGCTTCTCATATGTGGGACAATATCAGTTTTTGTGGGAAACAAATGGATGAGTGCACTTGGAGTTGCAGTATGTGATAGGTCAAGTGTAATATGGGGGGGGGGGATATGCTCATAGAGTTGGCTCATACACAACACAGTGTGAAAACAAAGAGTAAACACGCCATTAGACTTAATAAACCACGGTGACTATCAAAACACACTACGACACACACACACACAAACATCCTAGCATACACCAACTTACGAACACACACACACACACACAAACATCCTAGCATCCACCAACTTACCAACACACACACACACACACACAAACATCCTAGCATCCACCAACTTACCAACACACACACACACACACACAACAGATTGCTGATACAAACTAACTCACTGGCACATACACGCTGACCTACTCACACAAGTTAACACACACTAAAACACACACCAACTTACCTACACACACAGGCCAACAAACACAACGACATACTCATAAAGCATTACATATATAATTGTATCAGTCTAAAAAAAATTCCCGTACCCAACCAAACGTGCTTTATTAATTCGTTATTTGTACCACAGTCTCAGCAGTATAAAATCCTGAGATAAGACTAGACCTCGTACAAACAGTTCGTATTGTGCACTTTCCCTAAACAGGCCCTAAGTCTAACAGACATAGCATGCAGCCGTGTAGTATTGCTTATCTAGACTGGTGTGTAGCAGCTGGTTTTAGAGAAATATAGTGTGGTGTTTAGAGATTGTTATTCATTTGTTGATTAATATAGTGTTGTTATTATGAGAAGGTTTTTTATGTTAAAATAGTAAGGTTGTTTCAGTAATTAGGTTAGTATGATCTGGTGTTTAAGGTTGTTTCAGTAATTAGGTTTCTTGTGTTTAAGGTTGTTTCAGTAATTAGGTTTCTTGTGTTTAAGGTTGTTTCAGTAATTAGGTTTCTTGTGTTTAAGGTTGTTTCAGTAATTAGGTTTCTTGTGTTTAAGGTTGTTTCAGTAATTAGGTTTCTTGTGTTTAAGGTTGTTTCAGTAATTAGGTTTCTTGTGTTTAAGGTTGTTTCAGTAATTAGGTTTCTTGTGTTTAAGGTTGTTTCAGTAATTAGGTTTCTTGTGTTTAAGGTAGTTTCAGTAATTAGGTTTCTTGTGTTTAAGGTAGTTTCAGTAATTAGCAGTGCCGGCGCCAGGTTATTTAGCGCCCTAGGCAAAACTTATTAAAACGCCCCCCCCCCCCCCCTTTTCACACAGATTAATTAGTAAAACATAGGTATAAGAAAACGATTAATTAAAAGTGACATATTAATGTATTATCAATTGCATAAACGTTTTAAGTAGACATCAAAATAAAATTTTGCTTGCCTTCTTCGTCACAAAAGTTTGTACTAAGGAATTATTCCTTCAATTCCAGTTTGCAAGCGTAATCACATTTTATTGAAATTGTTGCTAAGTCCACGAGTCTACTTTGTACTTACAGACATAGCCCCCCCCCCCCCCCCCTCTTAGAAAATTTCAATTGTTTCCCCCCCCCCCCCCCCCCCCCAGTCCCGGGAGAAAAAGTCTGGAAAAAACCACTGAAAATAAAAACAACACAGTTCTTGTAGTGTTGAGCTCTCTGCAGACCTCCCAAGGTGAGTTCCAGAACGGAACTTACCTGTTTTAAGCTTGAATGTCTTTGGTTAAAATTGTAAAATGTCTACATTGTGTGATTGTGTAACAATTTAAAAAAAAAATAATAGGTTATAAATTTTATAGGTTCCAGCCTACAAATGTTATATACACATCCTATAGGAGAGGGTGAAAAATATGAAAAAGAAAATTAATTAGATGATTAGTTTGCGACTAAGAAGATTTTAGACGCATTTGTTGCACTACCTCATGGTGTATGTCATAGTGTATGTCGACTAACATTAAGTATTGCTATCTACAACGGCTACTGATGTATTTGTTTTTTAACTGGATAATGCTAAAAAAATCCAAACAAACTATTTTGTTTAGATCTTCTGCTCTATATAAATGTACAATAGCAAATAGTAACTTAAAGTTGTATTTATATGTAAGCGATTAACCTAAGGTGCAGGAATTTGAAATGGATGAATTATCTACCATTTGGAAATTCAAATACCAAATTTTATTAATGGGAAATAACGTTCAAAAAAATAGCTAAATTAACCAAGTGTAACTAAGACATGCTTGAAAAACAATAAAACAATCTAAATTTCATTAAGTAATAATTATAAATAAACCTTTTATATTAGCTAGGTAACCCTGGCAATAAAATGTATTTTGTCAATTGACTACTTAACTGTATTTTTTGTTTGAAAGTCTTAACACGGTAGCTTTATTATAACATACTTCTAGTCAATTTAGATGACACATTTTATTAATTGGATCATATTAAGCGTTTACAGAAATTTTGGATCCCCTAAACAAAGGGACGGTTTTCAAATAAATTAAATACGGGCAACTGCTTAAGACATTGCTAAAATTATTGATTAGATATATAAAAGAAAATTATAATTTGAAAAAAAAAAAACAAGTTTACGGGTAGTTATAAATTCCAGCCTATATAATACTAGCCATCGGTACCCGTTTCACGTGAATTATAGGCCTTTATATTTTTAATGTTATACATATTAGGAAATAATAAATTATAAAATAGTTATTGATCAAAATTCAACACTACACGACCCTCATCTGCTTCAACGGTCGCTTACTATCATGTCGTTATACTATTATCAGATGCACTGTTTTTTCCCCAATTAGCCGACGTAATGAAGGCAAAGGAATTTGTCAGCTATCTACCACCAATATATTATACTAATAACACAATCATTGTCTATAGTTTCAATAGTCATCGTTTCTACTGAAAGCTAAGCGCAGTAGAGTCGGCGTAGAAAATATTTAAACAACAACGTAGTGCTATTAGAAACATATTATCTCCCCATAGCCCTAAGCGTGATATTTGCTTTAAACATTAGCCAAAAACGTCTGCGTTACGTTATTCTGTACCGACGCGGATCTAATTTAGTGAGTACTTTTTTTTGTTTTAGTTGGAAAACGATTGCTCATGAGCGTAACGACTGAGAGATCTGGAATAAAAGAAAAAAATGATGTTATTTCCCCCTTTAATCCCTTCCCCTCAACAGACATCTTCCCTCGTCTTCTCTGTTTGGACATTTTAAGACTTAAAAGTATGTACGTTTGCGTGAGTGTGTGTGTGTGTGTAAGTAAAATAAATTCAAATATTCGGGTATCGATCCCAAAATTTGATAGCCACCTCAATGAACCCTTCACCTCATTAAGCAAACAGGAACCGTATTCGTCTCAGCGGTATCGATTCCGCCAGCCTAATGGTGGCATCAAAAGATGACAAATTCTAGCTGAGCTATTCATTAGGTTTTAGGGTTGGACGGGATCGACTCTCACTCAATGACTGAGTACGGTACTCGAGGTCGTTGTTATCCGTCATCAGTGGACAGTTGTTGGTATAAGCGGGTCTGTGTGCTTAAGCTCAGCTCTTTTTGATTTCCAGCAATTTGTGGACGATATAAAAAAAAGCGAAAGCTCATTAAGCGAAGTTCCTAATATGGTTCCGGATATCTGTTAACTTAAGATTTCATCAATCCTGAGGTCGAAGTAACGAGTTGTGTAGCGATAACATGAATAAAAATGTGAGCCATAAGAAGGCCAGGTACTCATCAAGGCTGAGTTGACTCAAGGGAATCATGTTTTAAAATAAGTACTTAATTTCTGTAACACTAAATTGAAAAACGTTCAAATATTTCTCCCCCTCCCCCCATTTATATTTAGCTCGACCATTAAATACAATTTCCCCTGATGCTATTTATAGAAATGACGTCAACAGACGGAATGGATCATTACACACGCCGTTCCAGAAAGAAAAATAATACCGTTAGTTTTATGGATGAGCTAAAAATAGAATAACAAAAATATAAACGATTAGACCAATGCGAGTTTGTATTCAATTGTCAAAAGTTGAAAATCGCCGTCTTGTCATCTACGCTAAAGGTAGTGGTTATAATCGTCGCATATGCTCAGGGGGACGGGTGGTTAATACCAACTACACAATAAATCCCATAGTAGCATTGTATTGTTTAGTCGCTCCAATTCATAGTGAACCCTCCCATCTCAAAACGAACCCTCCCATCTCAAAATGAACCCTCCCATCTCAAAATGAACCCCTCCAATTTCAAAATGAACCCACCCCGTCTCAAAACGAACCCTCTCACCTCAGAATGAACCCTCTCACCTCAGAATGAACCCTCACATATCTCAAAATGAACCCTCCCATGTCAAAATGAACCCCTGCCATTTCAAAATGAACCCCCCCCCCGTCTCAAAACGAACCCTCTCACCTTAGAATGAACAGTATCTTAACATGAATTCTCCTGTCTCAACATAAACAAAACGAAACATAAACTCTAACATTAGCCCAGTTCTAAATTTAGAAACAACCCAACAACAAATTCTATCAAACCAATCAAATCTTATAAACAGCGCGGTTTGCGTGGGCCTATCAAGGTACAAACATCTCCCCCCCCCCCCTATCAAGGTACAAACATCTCCCCCCCCCCCCC